GTGGTGGGCGCCTGTAGTCCCAGCTACTTGGGAGGCTGAGGCAGGAGAATGGCGTGAACCCGGGAGGCAGAGCTTGCAGTGAGCCAAGATAGTACAACTGCACTCCAGCCTGGTGACAGAGCGAGACTCCATCTCAAAAAATAAATAAATAAATAAATAAGGGTAATGACTAAAGGAATTAGAGTAGAATGTATAATGTCTAAACCAGAAGAAGATAAGCAGGAAATCAAGAAAAGTCTCTAGATCCAAAGGAGGAAGGGAGAAAACACATATACACACACATACTCTCTCTCTCACACACACACACAAACACACACACAGAACATTTTCAAAACCTGACCGTGTACTCAGTCATAAAGCAGGTCTCAACAAACTCCAAAGAACAATATTCTATAGACCATGTTCACCAACCATGATATAATTAAGATAAACACTAAAAAAGGATAACTAGGCCCAGTGCGGTGGCTCACACCTGTAATCCCAGTGCTTTAGGAGGCCAAAGTGGGAGGACTGCTTGAGCCCAGGAATTTTGAGACCAGGCTGGGTAACATAATAAGACACTGTCTCTACAAATTTTATTTTATTTTATTTCATTTTTGAGACGGAGTCTGACTCTATCATCCAGGCTGGAGTGCAGTGGCATGATCTCAGCTCACTGCAACCTCCGCCTCCTGGGTTCAAGCAATTCTCCTGCCTCAGCCTGTAGCTGGAACTACAGGCACCTGCCACCACACCCAGCTAATTTTGTATTTTTAGTAGAGATAGGGTTGGCCGGGCTGGTCTCGAATTCCTGACCTCAGGTGATCCTCTTCCTCAGCCTCTCAAAGTGCTGGGATTACAGGCATGAGCCACTGCACCTGGCCAAAAAAATTTTTAATTAGCTTGGCATAGTGGGGCACACCTGTGAACCCAGCTGCTCGAGAGGCTGAGGCAGGAGGATAGCTTGAGGTCAGGAGTTTGAGGCTTCAGTGAACTATGATTGTGCCACTGTGCTCCAGCCTGGGCAACAGAGTGAGACCCTGCTTCTAAAAGAAAAAAAAAAAATGAAAAGGCTAACTAAACCCATGTCAGACTAGGTGGGAGGAGGGGTGGGTAAAGCGGGAGACACACAGTGACTAGTGGAAACCTCATGGGCTGGGAGCCAGAATCCTCCCTTTTCCCATTGCCTGGGGTGAGAGGACTGAGACATTGGCTGCAACCTGGACTCAAGGCCCTCTGAAGCCTCCTTCTGTCCCCAAAGAGCTGTGGCCTCTGGGATTCCACTCTTCGGAGTTGTAGTTAACTGGGGTATCAGCTGAATCAACGAAGAGGCTTCTAGAGTGAACTTCCACGCCATACCCCAGGCCCCTCTGCCCACTCCTCCTTGTTTAGCCATCTGTCCTCAGGATGGATGTCCCTTGCTTCCACAGGGAGGCCACGTAACAGGGGAATTGCAGGTCTGCATGGGCAGATGTTGGCAACTGTTGCCCTTGCCTGTTCCCCCACCTTAGCAGAGTCCCAACCCTCATAGCTCCCCAACCTTCCCCTGACTCTGCTCTGTTCAACCCTGCAGGGGCCAAGTTCCCCATCAAGTGGACAGCTCCTGAAGCCATCAACTTTGGCTCCTTCACCATCAAGTCAGACGTCTGGTCCTTTGGTATCCTGCTGATGGAGATCATCACCTACGGCCGCATCCCTTACCCAGGTAGGGAAAGGACATCAGCTCGGGGCTGCTTCCAGGACATCCTGGCAATGGGTTCATCTAGACAACATATCCATTCAAACTGAGTTCTTGATCCTCACCCCCAACTTTCCCTCACCTTTCCCATCTTAGTTAAAGGCACCTCCATCCATCCAATGTCTTAAGCCTGAAATCTGGGGGCTTCCTTGGCCCTTCCTTCTCTCTCGCTCCTATGACTTTTTTTTTTTTTTTTTTTTTTTTTTGAGACAGAGTCTCACTCTGTCACCAGGCTGGAGTGCAATGGCACAATCTTGGCTCACTGCAACCTCTGCCTCCCGGGTTCAAGCGATTCTCCTGCCTCAACCTCCTGAGTAACTGGGATTACAGGTGCCCGCCACCATAACTGGCTAATTTTTGTATTTTTAGTAGAGATGAGGTTTTACCATGTTGACCAAGCTGGTCTGGAACTCCTGACCTTAGGTGACCTGCCTGCCTCGGCCTCCCAAAGTGCTGGGATTACAGACGTGAGCCACCATGCCTGGCCGCACCCCTGTGACAACGGCGCAGTCTCAAGATTTTGGCCACTCAACTCCAAAACATATCCCACGTCTCACCACTTTGAACCCCACAGTCTCCACTGCATCCAGGCCAGTGTCGTCTCCCATGGATGGTGCAGCAGCCTCCTCATCAGTCTTACTGCTTTCTCCCTCCTCATCCTACAGCCGATTCTCCACTCACAGCCAGGATAATTCTAAACTGTGAATCAGATCTTGTCCTTTCTCCACCTTTCTTTTTTTTTTTTTTGACAAGGTGTCACTCTGTCACCGAGGCTGGAGTGCAGTGGTGCGATCATAGCTCACTGCAGCCTCGACTTCCTAGGCTCAAGTGATCCTCCCACTTCAGTCTCCCGAGTATCTGGGACCAGAGGCATGTGCCACCATGCTTGGCTATTTTTTATTTTTTTGTAGAGACTTGGTCTCACTACATTGAGCAGCCTGGTCTCTAATTTCCAGGCTCAAATGATCCTCCAGGCTTGGCCTCCCAAAATGCTGAGATTAGACACACACTACCATGCCCAGCTAATGTTTTAAATTTTTTGAGAGACAAGGTATTGCTATGTTGACAGGCTGGTGATTTCCATTTTTAAGCGATGTTTTGGTTCAGTGTGGAGAGTGAATGGGAGAGAAGGGGAACAGGGTGGCAGCCATTGAGGAGGCCACAGAAGTGGCCCAGGCAGAGGTGATGATGGTCTGGACAGGGTGGTGGCATTCGTGACTGGCATACGTTGATGAACTGGTGCTACGTTTCAAAAGAAGAGAAGATCTGACTTGCTGACTTAGGAGGTGAGAGAGAGAGAATCAGGGATGATTACCCTGGCTTTGCACCATAGGGTGGGTAATGGTCTAGGGACAGAAATTGAAGAGCTCTGTTTTAGCTCTGTTAAGTTTGAGATGACTTAAGTATAGAGACATCCAAGTAAAGGAAGCACTTGAGTTCATGAGTTTGGAATTTGAGACTAATAATATAAAATTGGGGATCACAGATATTGAATGGCTATTCTTATGAATAACTAATAAAAACTTAAATTGAACAAGAAAATAGTCCCATCCATAGGTTGACATTGAATCTGACCACCTGACTGTTTTGTCTTGAGGGTGCACTAGTCAAAACCAGGCAACACACAGTAGAAGCTAAATCCATTAGGATGTGTTCCGCAGCAAGCAACAAAATAACAGACAAAGAGTAACTGAAACAGAAGCAAGCTATTACTCCCCATCTGCCATGGGTGACTGGTTAGTTCAGCAGTTCAGCAGCTGTCAGGACTCTGGGTTCCTGTCTCTGTGATGGTCTTCTCCATGTTGTCAGATGGTTGTTGCAGATCCAAGTATCATAAGTATCTCACAGTGTTCAAAGGAAGGGTGCGTTCTCCAAAGCCTCTCCTCTAAGCGGGAGGAAAACCTTTCCTGGCACTCTCCCAGCAGACCTCCCCATCCGCTCCCATTGGCCCAAACTGGGTCCCGGGCCTATGACCTAGCTGCAAGTGAAGCTGAGGGTAGAAGTCTCTGGCTTTCACAGTGGGAGGGGCTCAGCTTGCAAGCGAGGTGGGGAGTGACGGCTGCTGGGGAGGCCACAGGGCCTGCCACCCCTGGGCTCTCATTTCCCAACCGCTTCCTTTTTTAATTCCACGGCTCCTTTTCAGGGATGTCAAACCCCGAAGTGATCCGAGCTCTGGAGCGTGGATACCGGATGCCTCGCCCGGAGAACTGCCCAGAGGAGCTTTACAACATCATGATGCGCTGCTGGAAGAACCGTCCGGAGGAGCGGCCGACCTTCGAATACATCCAGAGTGTGCTAGATGACTTCTACACGGCCACAGAGAGCCAGTACCAACAGCAGCCATGATGGGTAGGGCCAGGGGGTGCCCAGGTGGTGGCTGCAAGGTGGCTCCAGCACCATCCACCAGGGCCCACGCCCCCTCCCTACTTCCAGACACCCACCCTCGCTTCAGCCACAGTTTCCTCATCTGTCCAGTGAGTGGGTTGAACTGGAAAATCTCTTTTTGACTCTCGCAATCCACAATCTGACATTCTCAGGAAGCCCCCAAGTTGATATTTCTATTTCCTGGAATGGTTGGATTTTAGTTACAGCTGTGATTTGGAAGGGAAACTTTCAAAATAGTGAAATGAATATTTAAATAAAAGATATAAATGCCAAAGTCTTTACCAAAAGGTTGGTTTTCTTGTCCTTCCAATTCCTGAATATCTATTTGCCATCTTGGTGTATGACAAGTCAGAAAGTGTGAAGGACTCTCCTGGGGACCAGAAGTACAAAGACAAGCGGGGTTCAGACTGGGTGCAGTGGCTCCCACCTGTAATACCAGTGCTCTGGGAGACTGAGGGGCGGGGGATTTCTTGAGCCCAGGAGGTCGAGGCCGCAGTGAGCTATGATCATGCCACTGCACTCTAGACTGAGCAACAGAGCAAGACCCTGTCTCAAAAAAAAAAAAAAAAAAAAAAAAAAAAAAAAACTTAAAAAAGAGGGGGGGGGGGGAGGAGGAGGAGGAGGAGGAGGAGGAGGAGGAGGAAAGAAGGAAGAAGGAAGAAGGAAGAAGGAGAAGAAGGAAAGGAAAGAAAAGTGGGGTTTGATACTTGAGGTTTTCTAACTGTCCTAAAATAGTTGCTGGCTGTATTCGTTTCCTCTTGCTCCTGTAACAAATTACCACATATTTGGTGGCTTAAGGCAACACAACTGCATAACGTTACTGGGCCAGGCATAATGGCTCATGCCTGTAATCCCAGAATTTTGGGAGACTGAGGTGGGTGATCACTTAAGATCAGGAGTTCAAGACCAGCCTGCCAACATGCTGAAACCCTGTCTCTACTAAAAATACAAAAAATAGCCAGGCATGGTGGTGGGTGCCTGCTACTGGGGAGGCTGAGGCAGGAGAATTGCTTGAACCCGGGATGTGGACGTGGCAGTGAGCCGAGATTGTGCCACTGCACTCCAGCCTGGGCAAGAGATGGAGACCCTTTCTCAATAAATAAATAAGTACATACATACATACATACATGTATAACCTTACTGCTCCACAATAGTGAGACCCTGTCTCAATACATACATGCATGCATGCATACATACATACATACATATATACATACATACATACATACACACACACACACATACAAGTATAACTTTACTGTTCCAGAAGTCAGAGGGACTGAAATGGGTTGCATTCATTTTAGAGGCTCTAGAATTTGTTTCCATGCCTTTCCCAGTTTCTAGAGGCTGCTCCCATTCCTTCACTCATCAGCCCCTTTTGCTCATTACTCCTAACTTTGCTTTCATCATATCTCCTCTGACTCTGAGTCTTCTTCCCCTCTTTAATTTGTAAGAACTCCTTGGACCCACCTGGATAATTCAGAATAATTTTTCATCTCAGGATTCCTAATCACCTTTGCAAAGTCCCTTTTGCCATGTGAGGTAACATTTTCATAGGCTCTCAGGGTTAGGGCATGAACATCTCTCGGCAGGGGGCACTGTCCTGCCTTCTCCACTGGTATCCAGATGCTGAATGGGTTTTGCCTCCAAGGAGCTGGGTCTTCCAGGATGACAGGAATGGTTTCTCATGATTTGGGATCCTGACTTTCCCGTTAGGCCACATTGCTACAAAAGCTGGTCAGTTTACAGCTCTCCAGAGCTGGGGGCTGCCTGCAGGGCTGGGGGCTGCCTGCAGACCTGACATTCCCCATGGTCAAGCAGCCATTATACTTGTTGAGGTGGTATTTGCCATTGCAGGAATCCCGATCTGGAGATATGGCTGCTGAGAGTATCTAGTACCCTACAGAGGAAGCTTTCAGTGGAGAGGTGGGAGACCTGCGTAGGAAGCAGAGAAGACAAAGTGGTGGGGGCTTCCCGAACGTTGCCTCAGCTGAGAGTCCCTGGCAGCTAGTTATAATCACACAGAGAAAGACAGAAAGAGGTGAACAATGGGTAAAAAGGAAACACCACCTTTCCATATTATTGCATCCCCTGAAGGTTGTACATCACATCACCCCCTGGGTCCCAGAGAATCCTACACTAACTTGATTCTGTACCTCTGAGTAGGGTGGGGTTCTGACCTTAGGAACTGACTATAAGAACAGTGGAAAATAAAGCTAGTAGTGTTTCAACTTACCTAGTTGGTAATTTCTTTCTTGCTTTCTAGTTTGGGATGTGGCTTGGGTACATGAAAGCAGAGTCCAGGGTCTTCTGATGGAAATTTGCCTTATGATTTGTGATAATAATCTGATGGGAGGAGTACACTTCCCTGTGCCACCAGTGTTGAACTTGACCATGAGACTTGCTTTAGCCAATGGGATGTTAGCACATGTGATGCAAGCAGAGGCTTGAAACGTGCTTGTGGGGCTAGGCTTGCCTTCCAGTCTTTTGCCCTGAAAAGAACATGGTCCAAGGAAGATGAGTGACAGATGGAGCAGACCTAGACCAACCTGCAGGCCTGAGCCCAGCCTAGATCAACTGAACTCCATCTGACCTGCGGATATGTGAGAGAGAAATAGATGCTTACGATAATAAGCCTTTGTGTTCCAGGGTTGTTTTGTTACATAGAAGTATGACAGCCACAGCGACTGAGGCACGATCTCAGGAGTTGAAGCCTATTGCTTATGGACAAGGTTAAAGGATCAATTTCTGCTTTCTGCTCTTTCAATTTTTACTGCCCAAACCAACACTGATTTGTCCCTCTGGTCACCGAAAAGACAGGTAAAAACATGCGGATAGATACAACACCAAAAGCATGATCCACAAAAGAAAAAAAAAAAGATAAATTGTACCTCTTTAAAATCAAAAACTCTGCTCTGCCCAAGACACTATTAAGAAAATAGAAACATGGCCGAGCCCGGTGGCTCACGCCTGTAATCCCAGAACTTTGGGAGGTCAAGGCAGGTGGATCACAGGAGGTCAGGAATTCAAGACCAGCCTGGCCAACATGGTAAAACCCTGTCTTAATTAAAAATACAAAAATTAGCCAGGCGTAGTGGCAAGTGCCTGTAATCCCAACTACTGGGGAGGCTGAGGCAGGAGAATCACTTGAACCCAGGAGGCGGAGGTTGCAGTGAGCACACCATTGCACTCCAGTCTGGGTGACAAGAGCAAACCTCTGTCTTAAAAAAAAGAAAATAAAATAAAACCATGATCCCCAAGCTTGTAAAAAATATTTGCAAAAAATATCTCTGATGAAGGACTGGTATCCACAATATATAAACAACTCTTAAAACCCAACAATTGAAAAAAAGTATCTGCTAAAATAGCTAAGATTCAAAACACTGATGACACCAAATGCTGATGAGGATGTGGAGCAACAGGAACTCTCATTCATTGCTGGTGGGAATGCACAATGGTACAGCCACTTTGGAAGGTATTTGGCAGTTTATTACCAAACTAAGCATAACCTACCACACAATCCAAAAATTGTGCTCCCATATGAGTTGAAAACTTATATCTACACACACACAAAAAAACACGGCACATGGATATTTATAGCAGCTTTATTCATAAATCCCAAAACTTGGAAACAATCAAGATGTCCTCCAATAGGTGAATGGATAAACAAACTGTGGTATATTCATATAATGGGATATTATTCAGCACTAAGAAAAAAGAGCTGATCAGGTGCAGGTGCAGTAGCTCACACCTGTAATCCCAGCACTTTGGGAGGCTAAGGTGGGAGGATTGTTTGAGCCCAGAAGTTTGAGACCAGCTTGGGCAACAAGTGGGACCCCTCCATATCTACAAAGAGTTAAAAATTTAGGTGGTTGTGGTGGCATGCAGCTGTCGTCCCAGCTACACAGGAGGCTGAGGAAGGAGGATCACCTGAGCCCAGCAGATTGAGGCTGCAGTGAGCCGTGACTGTGCCACTGCACTCCAGCCTCGGCAAGACAGCAGTACCCTGTCTCAATAAATAAATAAATAAATAAATAAATAAATAAATAAATAAATAATTTTGGCCTGGCATGGTGGTTCACGTCTGTAATCCCAACACTCTGGGAAGCCAAGGCAGGTGGATCACTTGAACCCAGGAGTTTGAGACCAGCCTTGGTAAGATGGTGAAACCCCGTATCTACAAAAAATACAAAAATTGGCCAGGCATGGTGGCGGGTGCCTGTAGTCCTAGCTACTCAGGAGGCTGAGGTAGGAGAACTACCCAGGAGGTCTAGGCTGCAGTGAGCTGTGATTGTACCACTGCACTCCAGCCTGGGTGATAGAATGAGACCCTGTCTCAAAATAAATAAATAGCCAGGCACAGTGGCTCACACTTATAATCCCAGCACTTTGGGAGGCTGAGATGGGTGGATCACTTGAGGCCAGGAATTTGATACCAGCCTGGCCATCATGGCGAAACCCTACCTCTACTAAAAATACAAAAAAATCAGCCAGACTTGGTGGCAAACACCCGTAGTCCCAGCTACTGGGGAGGCTGAGGCAAAAGAATCACTTGAACCTGGGAGGCAGAAGTTGCAGTGAGCCAAGATTGCGCCACTGCACTCCAGCCTGGGTGACAGAGTGAAACTCTGTCTCAAAAAGAAAATTTAAAAATAAATAAATAGGCTGGGAGTGGTGGCTCACACCTGTAATCCCAGCACTTTGGGAGGCCGAGGCAGGTGGATCACTTGAGGTCAACAATTAGAGACTAGCCTGGCCAACATGGTGAAACTCTGTCTCTGCTAAAAACACCAAAATTAGCCTGGCGTGGTGGCAGGTGCCTATAACCCCAGCTACTCAGGAGACTGAGACAGGAGAATCACTTGAACCTGAGAAGTGGAGGTTGCAGTGAGCCGAGATCGTGCCACAGCACTCCAGCCTGGGCAACAAAGAGCAAAACTAGAAAGAAAGAAAGCAAGAAAGCAAGAAAGAAAGAGAGAAAAAAGGAAGGAAAGGAGGGAGGGAGGAAAGAGAGTGAGAGAGAGAGAAGGAAAAGAAATTTTTTAAAAAGTGCTATCCAGCCATGAAAAGACATTCAGGAAGCTTAAATATATATTGCTAAGAAAGAATCCAATCTGAAAAGATTTCATACTATATGATTCCAACTATATGACATTCTGGAAAAGCAAAACTGTGGAGGCAGTAATAAAGTCAGTTGTTGCCAGGGGTCTGGCAGTGGGAGGGAGAGAGAGATGAATAGGTGGAACACAGGATTTTTAGGGCACAACCACCATATCAGCCTGGACAATCTTCCTCTAGAGTCTCACCTCCAAGGGTGCAGCATGCACTGCCAGTGCCCCACTCATATCTCTTAGAGTGGGGTGGACTTTTCAGGGGTCATTATCCTGCGTCACTGTTTCTGAGGACTTTTTCCCTAAAACTGCAAAAAGCTTCAGCTGCCAGTGTTCCCAGAAGGCTGAAAGTGCCAAGGAATTAACACCCTCTGGGAACAGTACTCAGCTAATGACTTCCAGGAGTTGGTGTATAAACAGCCTTGCTCCCTTGCCCCTCAGTGGGGTAACTCCAAAGTATGTGGTTTGCATCATTTCCCAGAGCTGCTCCATAGGATTAAGCTTCAGTTGCCCACAATGGTAACTTGCTTGACAAGTAGGCTTTCCCAGTATAGTACCAACATGAATGTGGGTTGATAGTTTTGGTTATATTCAGGAATAAGATGAAAGTGAAATAAAGAAGACATATATCAGAACTTGACTTAGTCAATGATATGAGCAAATTCTTTGCTGATCAGGGAAAGACTTTCAAATAAAGTTACATTTTTGTGCTAGTTACAAGGTAACAGCTATAGAGACTGCCCACCATTAAATTTAATCTGCAATATTAACATTTTTTCTCCATCGCTGTAAGTCTAGACCAGGGTTTGGCAAACTATGGCAAACTACGCTTTATTGGAACACAGTCATGTCTATTATTTATGTAACGTTTGTGGCTGCTTTTGTACTAAGATGGCAGAGTTGAGTAGTTGTAACACAACCGTATGATTGGCAAAGTCCAAAATATTTACTAATCTGGCCCTTTACAGAAAAAAATGTTGCTAGCAAAACAAAAATTCAAGCCCCGATTGGTAGCACTTCTTGATTTTTGTGGTGTCAACATTCCCACCATGGTGAATTTCAAGCTACCAACCAGAGCTGCATGATGATTTTCATGGGCACTTTTGCCTTTGTGGAACATTTCCTCCATAACATATATATAAAATATTATATATATTTTATATTTATAAATAGAAATAATATATAGTTATGTACTTATATTAAATATAGATAATAGTTTACAGCTGCAGTGTTTCCATATCTTGGCTATTATGAATAATGCTGCAATAAATATGGGGGTGCAGACATTGATTTCATTCCCTTTTAGATATATATTCAGAAGTGGGATTGCTGCAACATATGGTAGATCTATTGTTAATTTCAATTTTGATGAACATTCATACTGTTTTCCATAGTGACCGTACCAATTTACACCCCTACCAACAGTGCACAAGAGTTCCCTTTTCTCCACATCCTTGCCAACACTTATTGTGTGTCATTTTGATAATAACAGTTCTAAGAGGTGTGAAATGACTGCTCATTGCGGTTTCAATTGACATTTCCCTGATGATTAAGGATGTTGAGCACCTTTCCATTTACCTGCTGGCCATTTGTCTGTCTCCTGAGAAATGTCTGCTTAGATCTCTTGCCCATTTTTAAACCAGGTTATTTGGGAGTTTTTGCTATTGAGTTGTTTAAGCTCCTTATATATTTTGGATATTAACCCCTTATCAGATCGTTTTTGATTGGCAAATATTTTCTTTAGCTTTGGTGGTCACCTTTTTACTCTGTTGTTTCTTTTGCTGTGCAGAGCTTTTAAGTTTGATGCAATCTCACCTGTCTATTTTTCCTTTTGTTTCCTGTGCTTTTAGTGACATATCCAAAAAATCATTGCCCAAGCCAATGTCAAGTTTCCCTATGTCTTCTTCTAGTAGCTTTACAGTTTCTGGCCCTATAAGTCTGTAATCCATTTTGAACTGATTTTTGTATATAGTATGAGATAAAGGTCCAATTTCATTCTTTTCCATATGGATATTCATTTTCAGGGATGATGAAAATGTTCTGGAGATGGAGGATGGTAATGACTGGCAACATTGTGAATGTAGTTGATGTCACTGAATTGTGCACTTAAAAATGATTAAAATAGTCAATATTTTGTTACGTATATTTTACAACAATGAAAAAAATTTAGGCCGGGTTCAGTGGCTCACACCTGTAATCTCAGCCCTTTGGGAGGCCAAGGCAGGCAGATCACTTGAGGTCAGGAGTTCCAGACCAACCTGGCCAACACAACGAAAACCTATCTCTACTGAAAATACAAAAACTCAGCTGGGCTTGGTGGCATGCACCTGTAATCCCAGCTACTCAGGAGGCTGAAGCAAGATAATTGTTTGAATCCGGGAGTCAGAGGTTGCAGTGAGCCGAGATCACGCCACTGCACTCCAGCCTGGGCAACAGAGTGAGACTCCATCTCAAAAAAAATATTTTTTTGGAAAAAAAACGAGAAACTTGCCCATGTTATGGAGCTAATGAGTGGTAGAGATGGGCTCTGAACCCAGGCAGTCTAGTTCTAGGATTCTGGCTTATGTCACCAAAAGAGATTGGGATGTGAAAGCCCTTTAGGGGAAAATACAAAGCATGAGAAGAAAAAAATGGAAATACTAAAAAATAATAAGCCATTTATGGAGCTTTGCTCCTTATCAGTTATCCTTCTTCAGGCAGCTAGAAATGGTGGGAAACACCCAGGATCGAAGCTCTAGAAAAACTGGTTCCAAGTTTGGAACATACGAGACTGCAGCAAATTCCCCCTAGTCTCTCAAGCTTCCTCCTCCTTGGGGTTAACAGCCAATCTTCCAATCTTTGGAATGGTTGTGCCGGTCACAAGAGTTAATGGGCGTGTGTTTCAATGATCTATTCCTGAAATGATCTATAATAAACCACCCCACTCTAAAACAGCTGGGCTCAGCTGGGCAGTTCTTTTGGTCTACATGGGGTTCATGAGGTTATTCATGTAGCTGCATTCAGCTAGTAGCTCAGTGGAGGCTGGAATGTCCAAGATGACTTCAACTACTTATTACAGTGCTCAGCTGGAGTTTCTGGGATGTCTTGAGGAGTTGGCTGGGCCTCCCTCTCTCCAGGTGCCTTTTCAGCAGAGTAGCTACACTTCTTTATAACTAAAAAGGTAGAATCAGGCGTTTTCAATCCTCTTAAGGCCTAGGCTCAGTACTGGCAGAATCACTTGTAGCACATCCTCTTAGTCAAAGCAACCAACATGACCAGCCAGATTCAACATGATGTAAAACAGAGTCTATCTCTTGGGGAGGGAAACTGTATGCTCATCATGCAAGGATGGACAGAACCAGATGGCAGCATCTGCAGAGAATCCACCACAGTGGTGCCCATAGGTGGGGATCAGAGTTCAACTGTCCCTTGCCCCCTAGAATTAGATAAAAAGAGTCTTATGAACTGTTTTAGCACAATGCCAAGTGCTGCAGCACACACCAAATGCTCAGCAAGTGCTGATGATTATTATTAACATTACTATTCTTTTAATAGCTTTTTAAAACAGTCTAAGATGGCACTGTATTCAGTTTAAAGTGATATCCATGGGCCAAATGAACTTTGAGTTCTTTCCTAACCTTAATACCATGATTCTTTGAGTCTCTTTTTTACAGATTTGGAAACTGAGTCTTAGGAAGATTGCGTGACTTATCTGGAGTTACATACTAAGCTGGTGCATGACGTCCACATTCAGACATATCTCCCTCCACTGAATATGCTGGTTTTCACTCCTTCACTTAAAAAATAATGTATTGGGCACCTACCACAAGCCCAAAGGAGTATAATAAACATATACTGACAATTATTTATTGAATACATCCTATTTAACATTGTGTCACTGAATCCTCATCACAAGCCTATGATGAAACCCCTTCCCATTTTACAGATGGGAATGAGGCAGAGCAAGGTTAAAACAAAAAACAAACAAAAAACAGGGGCTATCCTCATAGGGATTACAGTCTACTAAAGAGGATATAGGACAGTCAAACAAATAAATATATAATTACAAATTGTTCTTGGAGTCGGACTGCCCTTGGAGCCCGAGTGCCCACCCTCTACCTCAAATCAAGGTCCCAGGTAGCCCTGGCAATGGGTCTTCCTGCCAGTAGTACAGATGGCGCTGAGAGCACGAGCGCATTTTCACACACCCCCATTACCCACAATGCAGCGGGGATAGGGGAGGCTCAGTTTCTGCCAGGAGCTAATATGGCTTCCATAGTTACACCGTTCTCTCTCTTCAACTAATCAGTGACCTTACTTTCCCAGACCAGACTGTGGAGCACGAGCTAAGACTCCTTTTACCCTCTGCTGACCGCTACTACAGGAGCGGTTGGAGCTAGGCGACCACCTTGCGGAGTTAAACTCCGTAACCGGGGAGCACCACTTCCGCTGACGTCATTACGGCGACACGTGGATCCAAGATGGCGACGGCGATGGTGAGTGAAGGAGACTCCGGGAGCGGGAGCTGGAGCGGGGCCCTCCGGGGTATCCCAGGATCTTCCAGCACCCCATGCCTGACCCTGAGCCACCTCCGGGACCCCTGACTCAGGCCTGAGGGCTGCCTCTGACTGGGCTGGTCTCCCCCGAGATCCACCTCCCCGGCCCTGCCCCTGCACTCAGGCTTGTCAAGGCCTCAAGTTTTGGGGGAGGCGCCGTTTCGGAGAGAGACCTTGGCTGCTACCTTCGCCGGTTCCCATTCTACTTTTGGTCTCCGCCCACTGTGAGCCCCATTTTCCAGTTTTCACCTCCCAGTCCTGACCCCTCTGAAGACCCCTGCCCCCGTTATTCTCATCCTTGCTCCTCCCCGTCACGTCCAGACCCTGCTCTCCCCGCCTCCCCACCATCCTAACCAGTCCGCGGATGTGACCTCCCCTCTGACCACCCTCCCAGCCCAAGCGCTGCCTCAGATCCTTTGCAGAGCCCTGTCCTCACTTACACTCATAGCTGTCCCCATCCCGCACTCCTCTTGACTGCCGCTACCCCAGAGCTTGACCTCACTTACCCCACCCCCATCTTTCATCCCTAGACGCTTCCCTACGCCTCCTGTCTTCTCTCAGTCAACTCCCTGCCCCTCTTCTAGGGACCTTTTACCCTGTTGGTTCTCAAACTTTACTGTGCGAAAGAATCTCGGGGTGTGCAGGAGGAGGCGTGCTAAAAATGCAGTTTCCTGAGCAGCCCCACTCCCAAAGATTCTAATTCCATAGGGCCAGGTGATGCCCAGGAATCTGCCCTTTTATAAGCATTCCGGTGATTATGGTGGAGGTGGTCTGTGAACTACGTTTTGAAAAACACTAATAGCACCACCTCACTGCTGTCCTTCCCATTCCCCAACATGGCCACACAGCTCGTTAGGGATGAAGGCTCATTATGATGAAGCTATATGTTAGGATGAAGTCTGTGTGGATGAGGGTGGAGGTAAAAGAGCCATGCTTGGAAGTTGGGTCAGAGCTTGCAGGCTCCTGATGCAGAACCCTGGAAGTAAATCTTTGAAGGACTGGCCCTTCTTCCAAAAGTTTAGTTCAAATTCTGATCGTCAAGAGACCAAAACTAAAATTGAAGTCACTTAGTTCAGAATGATTTGCTGGATCTTCCTGCTTACTGCTTCGTCAGCAGATAATTTCATCCTGGGAGTGAATGACAAGGAAGGCTCAGAGAAAAGGAAATGACATTTGATTTTAGCAAAGGAAGATTCTGGCTTAAATAATTTGGTGTTGGTTTTCTCCAAACAGGGATATATTATTGACTGGTAGCAGTTTTCCCTCCTTCTCTTAGCTGACTGAGAACTTATCTTTTTTTTAATGAGGGATTCCTTATTTAGAACTTCAGAGGTCACGTAAAAAGATTTCATGACCTTACCTGGTTTCTGTGGTTTCAGACTTCAGGCTGAACCATGAATGGAGCAAATCCTCAAAGTAGTATATTGAAACTTGTGTGTGTGTATATATGTATGTATATATATTCTGGTGCACATTCAGAACAAAGATGGTGTGAGAACTTAACAGAAAATCACACCCTCTCTTGCTATAAGGAAAACATTGAATAAAGTGAATAAAGTGGTATTTACAGCACTGCACTGGGAAATCCCAGCCTTGGTCAGAGATTTTTAAGAGGTTATAAGTTAGCCATACATATATGTGGTACACATCTATTTAGTCAACAAATATTTGAGTACCGATTCTGTTCCATGAACTAGGGATGTAGCTGTGAATTAGAGGGTCAAGGTCCCTACACTTGTGGAGCCTTTCTAGTTTGAGGAGACAGGCAGTGAACAAGTAAATACATGAACAAAATAATGTCACCAGTAAATGCCGTGAGGACAGCAAAATGAAGTGATAGTGATTGGGGTGACTAGATGACACAACTACTTTGGATTGAGTGGCCAGAAAGAAGTCTCAGAGGAGGTGACTTGAGTTGAAACATAATTAACAAGAAGGAACCAGCCATTCAAAGAATATTCCAACGAAGGAAATGGCAAGTGTAAGGGGCCGAGGTGGGAGGGAGCTTGGTGGTTTTGAGGAACACACAGAAGGCTGGAGGAGCCAAGCATGGTGAGGGTTGGGGTAGGAGAGAATGATACAAGATGAAACTGGAGGGAAGCAAGAGCAACTGTTTTGAGAAGCATTCCTGGAATTGGGATGGACTGCAGTCTACATTTTGTTGACGGTCGATTGCATTTTGAAATAGAGTGTTGTATTAGGCTGCTTCCCCTTCCCATCCCCTTGAGGACAGTACTTGAAGGGAGCCAGCTTGTTCTCAGTTGGCACAGAGGCTTTGGAAAGGAGTTTGGATTTTAGTCTAAGCACAGTGGAAAGGACGGAGATTTTGCCCAGCACAGTGACTCCACCTGTAATCCCAGCATTCTGGGAGACCAAAACAGGGAGATTGCTTGAGCTCAGGAGTTTGAGACCGGCTTGGACAACATGGCAAAACCCTATCTCTACAAAAAAAAAAAAAAAGGAAAAAATTAGCTGGGCTTGGTGGTGTGCACCTGTAGTACTAGCTACTTCGGGGGCTGAGGTGGGAGGATCACTTGAACCTGGGAGGTCAGTACCAAGGATACAGTGAGCCCTGATCACAGTACTGCACTCCAGCTTTGTCAACAGAGCGAGACCCTGTCTTAAGAAATGACAACAGGCCGGGAGCAGTGGCTCACGCCTGTGATCTCAGCACTTTGGGAGGCTGAAGCAGGCGAATCACTTGAGGCCAGGAGTTCGACACCAGCCTGGCTGACATGGTGAAACCCTGTCTACTAAAAATACAAAAATTAGCCGGATGTGGTGGCATGCACCTGTAATCCCAGCTACTCGGGAGGCTGAGGCACGAGAATCGCTTGAACTCAGGAGGTGGAGGCTACAGTGAGCCAAGATGGTGTCACTGCACTCCAGCCTGGGCGACAAGAGTGAGACCCTGTCTCGCAAAAACAAAACAAAACAAAAAACACCACCAACAACAAAACCCTGAAAGTACGGGGATTTAGCATTTGTTGTGCCATCTGGGAGTATTGTACTGAAAACAGTAACTGATTTAAAGAAACTGAATATGTAGTGTATGCAGTGACCCGCAGAGGCCAGTTTAAAGGGTGCATATGGAGAAACTTCGTATCTGGTGCAATAGTGAAAAGGTGTGGAAGCAAATTTATTATGGGGGTATGTGAGTAAGGGGCAAAGTGGAGTCACAGGGTTGAGTTTGATCTGTGTCAGCACTTCATTACACGGAAGTCAGAATAGTCCCCACTCCCTCATACACACCCTCATTTCATAACCATTGGTGGGGGGTGAGGGGTGCGGTAGATCTACTTTGGAGTGTATGGGTCACTGAGGTGAGTCATACAGTCAAAGAGGAACTGAACTAGTGGATTCAGTGGCCGTGGGAACAGCTGGGTTTTTGGTTTGTCCTTTGTTTTGAAAGTTAGGGTTGTGGGTGCAAGTGCAGTGGCATGTGAGCCTTTCCATTTCTCTCCTTGGTGAATGGCTCTTCTTCCCCAAGCGTTAGGCTGCCGTCTCCCAGAACGATGTTAGTATAGAGGGTGTGTCCTGAACCTGCAGGGCAAGACTTCTCCCTCCATGAAAGATAGCTGGTATAAACTGAAGTTCTCTTTGATTTTCCTGTCTTCTTCCATCCTTAGATTTCGACTACTCTGTGAAGTTACAGGATACAGTGTTGATCTAGCTAGGTCTGAACTGAGAGGTGGGCTCATGTCTCACTCTTTATGGAAAACAGTTCTTGGGAATGTTATTTCACTGAAACTTGGGAAATGTCCATTGAGTACATTTCTAGATGTCTCAGGAGTCTAGAAACTTCAGTTTGGAGAATAAAACTCTGTACTTCTCTCACATCATTGTTCATACTGTTTTGGCTTTTATTATAATCTTTTTTATGGATCTAATTCATATGCCATAAAATTCACCCCTTTAAAGTATATAATTTAGTGGGTTTTAGTGTTTTCATAGGTTGTGCATACACTAAATGTTATGGTTATCACCATTGTGTAATTCAGAACATTTCATCACCCCCAAAAGAGAGTCACTCCCTACTCTTCCCTCCCCACAGCCCTAGGCAACTACTAATTTACCTTCTGTCCCTATGGATTTGCCTATTATGGACATTTCATACAAAGATAATTGTATAATTTGTGATCTTTTGTGTCTGGCTTCTTAGCATAATGTTTTCAAAGTTTGTTCATGTTGTGTCATGTATCAGTAGTGCCGCATCCCTTTTTATGGCTGAATCTTCCCTTGTATGGATGTACCACAGCTTGTTTATCATTCATCAGTTGGTGGACATTGGGATTGTTTTCACTCTTTGGCTGTTAGGTATAATGCTGCTGTGAACACTCAGGTGTAAGTTCGGTGTGAACATAACGTTCAGTTTCCTTGGGCGTATAGGGGTGTAATTGCTGCATCAGTTCACACTGTTTTGCGGTTACTTGGGTTTGATCCAGTCCAGAAACAGAGGAATGGAATGAATGACATCAAGATTCCTTTGTGCTAATGGAGCCAATGCCAGTAGTCCCTCCAGCCCCAGTCAAAGGCCCAGAAACTAGTTTTGTTTGTTTTTTATTATTATTTGAGACAGGATCTCACTCTGTCATCCAGGCTGGAGTGCAGTGGCACGATCATAGTTCACTGCAGTCTCCGCCTCCTGGGCTCAGGCGATCATCCTGCCTTAGCCTCCTGAGTAGCTGGGACTACAGGCACGCACCACATCCAGCTAATTTTTTAATTTTATTTTTCCTAGAGACGGGGTCTTGCTATGTTGCCCAGGCTAGCCTTGCACTCTCCTGGCCTCAAGCAGTCCTCCCGTCTTGATCTCCCAAAGTGCTGGAATTACAGGCGTGAGTCACTGTGCCAGGCTAAAGCTGTTTTTAATGGTGGAATGTGGTGCTAATCAGGTTGGATGATAGAGTCCTGGAACAGAAGGCCGGGAGCCTGAGCTGTGCCATCAGTCTTGTGTAAAGGAAGTGGCTGTCTCCTGTGGACCCCATGTACAGGAGGACATGAGCTGCCTGAAGAAGGAACACTGGAGCAGGAGCCAGCAGCCTGGGCTTGGTCCCAGCGCTGCCATTGATGCATTGTGTGGCCTGGGGCAAATGACTTTGGCTTTGTTAGTCTGTTTTCCATATATGACATGTGTGGAATTAAGGTTTGGACTTGATGATTTCCAAATTCCAAGTTGAAAATTTTGTAGTTTGGAATACTTGCATTTAAGGTGAGTTTTGCT